CAAAACAAGATAAAATGCAACCAGGTCACAGCAGCAGAAGGCATTTAAATACCATAATTCTGATCCTCACAGTACCACCTCAAGTACCTCCCCAGTTCAATCTCCAGAAATCAGATGGGGGCTCAGATACAGAGATGGCTTCTGGTTCTAACAAAACACCAGGTTTGTTTGCTTGATTTCACATATTGGAAAGGACAGGAAATATGTTGTGGAATTATCTATAAAGGCTATCTGGGGGGCATCCTCATCAACACACATCCACGCAGGCCTTGCTGCAGCAACAGGGAAGTGGGCAGTGAGAAGCCAGAGGAGCAGGGCCACAGCCTCTGCCCATCTCCACTCCTGGGTGGTGACGGAGCTTTTTTGTAGAAAGGGAACCAAAAATGATTTGAATTTTTAGCAGGCCACAAAGCAACAAACCAACCCTCCTATTTTAAACTTGGATACCTGCTGTTCTGCCAAAAGACAACTTCTAGAATACTTTTGAATGGGTTATTTGCCCCTTCCAGTTCCACAAACTCTGAAGCCAGCATCTAGCTTATGAAAAAAAGAATTGTACATAATATTTAAGATGCTAAGTATTTCAGAGGAAAGCTGAATGCTGCTGTAAATTCCTCTTTAAGTTTTCTTTTTTTTTTAAATCCCCTTCTAATGAATGAAACTAAGAGGAATTTCAGGGGAGATTGTTGGGGTTTGCTATATGATAAACAGTATGTAGTTTTAGTCTTTCTGTATTGAGAAGCAGTGGTTGGGCAATTTTTTTTTTATTTTTTATTTATTTATTTATTTTTTTGCGGTTTTTGGCCGGGGTTGGGTTTGAACCCCCCACCTCCGGCATATGGGGCTGGCGCCCTACCCGCTTTGAGCCACAGGCACTGCCCTGGTTGGGCATTTTTTAAGATGACTAGCTACACTTGTTTTCCCTCACCATAATAAATCTGTCTTAAATCCATAACATGGACTTGCCCCTAGAGGTCATTGTTAATAACTTTGAGATACTAAGGTCATGCCAAGGTTTTGATGATTCAAACCTGTATTACTGATTTTTAAGCAGGAAAGACTGAGCTTTCTGTTATAAATACCTTGAAGGAAAAAGTAATTATATTTTGCCTCCTGTGCCACCTCTCTTCATATTAACATTTAATAAAGATTTTAATTTACGTGAAATTTCTAAAGCAGAATGAAAGCTCCTCTTGGGGAAATGGAAAGTTATAGGAGAGGTGAGACCCTATATGAAGAGTACCAAAGCATTACCCCCTGACAGACAGCACACCCCATAAAAATGTTAAACGATCTGAAAAATAAAATATTCAAGTCTTCAGGATGGCACAAAATAAAAGTTAATGCTTTGGGGGGCATATTTCTTACAGGGCTTTCCCAGTATGTAAATAATTGACTTTTGTTTGTGTTACATGACTGGTCATGAAAAATCTGCACAATTCAGTTTTAGCTCCGGATTACTTCAGCTGACCTTTGTGAAGGTTTTATCTGTGTAGAATGGATGTTTGATTTGTTTCAATCTATTAGGGTTTTTTTTTTTCCACTCTGTATTTAATGTAAAATTTGCTAACAGAACAGAGGTGTGTGTTAACGCTAAGTGGGTTGGTTTGGCTTCTTCTAGTCAGGCTTTCTGAACATCGGGATAGCCTGAACTTAGAGTTCTTCAATTCTTAAAAGCCTCTCCCTTGAACCCAAACCAAAAAAACTCTCATTGCCTCTTTCCTAAAAGTTCAGGAGAAAAATATCACCAGCTCAGTGTTTTCACAATGAGCCTTTGCCTGCCGTATAATGACATAACACAGGGCTTGTTTTTCAAATTGTATTTAAAAAACTGGATCATCAAACAATAAGGAGTGAATTACTTTTTATGGACACCTGATGGTTTTATAGTTCTTAACCTAAACATTTTATATTTCCTCCTTTTGGAAAAAACCCACATGCTGCAAGCCACCATATGCACAGACTACACAGTTACATCGGCTCTCTCATAGTCTTTAAGGTGAATTATAAGAGTCTAGCCATTATCATCCTCCTGAGGATGAAATGGGTTTGGGGGAGTATATTTTGGCTGCAGCATTGGTGGTAGAATGTACTATGATGTGGATCATCATTACTTTTTTTTTTTTTTTTGAGACAGAGTCTCACTTTGTCACCCCCTGTAGAATGTCATGGCATCATAGCTCATAGCAACCTCAGACTTTTGGGCTCAAGGATTCTCTTCTCTCAGCTTCCCATGTAGCTGGGATTACAGGCGCCCCCCACAACCCCTGGCTATTTTTAGAAGTGGGGTCTCGCTCTAGTTCAGGCTGATCTTGAATTTAAGAGCTCAGGCGATCCACCTGCCTCAGCCTCCCAGATTGTTGGGATTACAGGCATGAGCCACCTCGCCAGGCCCCATCATGACTTCTGTATTTATTTATTACTAGACCTCAACTGCAGTCGCCTTTTTCCCCTTCCACCTCTCTTTGTAGTCAGGTACTTTGTATTAATATATTAGAAACCCACAGATCTGTTTTGTACTGTTTATACTATTGTATACTTACAATTAAAACTTTAACTAAATTGAATAAATTTAGTATTAGAAAATTTTTTTAAATCTTACAATACCTCCATGAGGTAAAAATTATTAATGTCCCCATTTTACAGATGAAGAAACTGATAAACAATAAATTTAAGCAATTTGCCCAAGGCCACCCAACTGGTAAGTAGTAGTGCTGGGATTTAAACCCAAGTATGTCATGCATAGAGCCCAGATGTAATTGTCTTATTACAGCCCCAAATTTGTGGTATACACAAAGTTCTTCTCAGGTTCATCTACTTTATTTTCTCTTCAGGGCCTATTTTGTAAACACAGCCCTATCTACAACTGTAATGAGCATGGGATTGTTTACGGCACATTGGAAATACAGAAAAATAGAAAGCGAAAAGATTCAAACAAGATATTATCACCCAAAGATAACCATTTATAAAATTTTGGTATATTTTCTTCTAATCTTTTTTTTTTTTTTCTGAGTCAGAGTCTTATTTTGCCACCCTCAGTAGAGTGCTATGGCATCATGGCTCACAGCAACCTCAAGCTCGTGGACTCAAGCAAACCTCTTACCTCAGCCTCCTAAGCAGCTGGGACGACAGACCCACCACAATGCTGGGCTAGTTTTGGAGACTGGTCTCGCTCTGCGTCAGGCTGGTCTTAAACACCTGAGCTTAGGCAATCCACCTGCCTCAGCCTCCCAGAGTGCTAGGATTACAGGTGTGAGCCACCGTACGCAGACTCTACTCATCTTTCTAAGCAGGTGGTTTTATTTTATAGGTTAATTTTATATACATCTGATCAATTTTTATACACAATTTTGGTGTTTCTTTTTCCTTTATAATACAACACGTGCTAGCCCAAGTTATTAAAAACTTCATAAACGTCCTTTAAAAATGCTGCATAATGTATTGTTGCATGGCAGTTCCACGATACACTTATCATTCCTCTCGTGTCATACATTTAAGATTTCCCAGCTTTTTAATTGTAGGATGAATCTATCTTTTCCTTCTTGATAGTATCCCCACTCCTGACGTTTCTCCATGTCTTCCTCAGACACCCGTTGACCCCTCATCCTTCCTATCATACCTTTCTATCCTTCCATCTCTCAAAGTTTACTTTCTGGAAGGGAGGTGATAAAATGTTAAGTGACTGATAAAGCTTAATCGTAATTAACTCTTCAAGGATACTTGTATCAATTTAAACCAAAGGAATGAAGCGCTAATTGTAGGGTTTTAGTTATCAGAAAATCTCTAGTTGAAGGAATTCTCCCTACCCCCAAATCAGAGAGTAGATGCCAGGTAGTAAAAACAACAACAATGGGAAGAAAAAAAAACCAAAAAACCATGCAGGGCTCACTTAATTTTAGGAAAGCTGATGAGAAGCCAGCTTAGAGCTGCCGGAGTGCTAATGAGATGTAAGAAGGAAAGAGTTTGTATAAGTAAGGGTGGAGAAAGTGGGCAGAAGAATGTTAGAAAGTTAGAAAATTCACTTAGCAACGCAGAGTCTACTTAGCACCACTAACCTAGTTTCTCCTGTGTTTGCCTTTCCAATGTGTCAGGTTCTCACTCCTAATTACTTTACAGAGTCTCAAAGCTTTGGGGCCTGTGGTGGCCACACAGCTAGTCATAAGGAAAGGAAGTCCACAAACAAGTCACCTCCGGAGACTTGGAGAGGAGTTAATCCCCGTGGGGAGACTAGAGGTTCTGTGTGAAACTTCCCCAAATCTGGTCCCGTCTCCAGTACTCTTTCGGCTCTCCTCCCAGAGGCTTCAAGCTTTTGCGCTTTGGGAAAATCTCAGCCTGCACAAGGGAGCAAGAGGGATCCAAGGCAGAGCCAGTTTTCCCCAACCCTAAAGGATACCGCGTTCTGCGGGTGCTGGCACTGGGAACGGCTGGTGTGGATACAGAGCGAGGCTGCAGGATGAAGTCCACGCCAAGGGGGTCAATGGCTCCGCCCCTCTGCATTAGGGGCCGAAGAAAACGCGAAATCGGAAGAGTTAACTCAGAGTAGGGGCTCCAGCTGAAGGCTGCGGAGCCGCGCGCAGGGTTCCCACCACCCCAGCTCCAGCCGCAGCGCTCGGCGCCCTCCCACGCCTGCTCCACCGGGACTCCGGGCGCCCCACGCACGCACCCACCCGCCTCTCTGAGCCTGCCGCTCCTCCCCCCTTCCTCGCTGGTTGGCCCGGGCGCCGCAGAGCGCGGCGCCGCCAGGAGGAGCCGGGCGCGCCCGCCACGCAAAGCCACCGGGCTAGCAGGGCAGCAGTAGCGGTGAGCGATCTCAGGTGGCGGCTACGGCTGTGACAGCAACAGCAGCGGCAGCAAAGCTCACTCTCTCCCCTGTGCTCCTGAATTCCGCCTCGGCCGCGCCACCGAGTAGCCCGCGGTCCCTCGGTCCCCAGCCCACGAGCGCACTCCCGAGCCTCGTGCACAAAAGCGGCGACCGCAGAGGCGGCTCCGAGCCCGGGCGCCCGCCATGGGGAAGCCGGCGAGGAAGGGATGGGACTGCAAGCGGTTCCTGAAGAATAACTGGCTGCTGCTCTGCACCGTGGCCGCGGTGGTGTTAGGTGAGCTGCGTGGCGGGTGGGCGATGCGCGCACCCTCACGCGCGCCCAGCGCCCAGGCCGCGTGCGGGTCGCGCGGGTGCGAGGGTGGGCTTGATGCTGGTGCACTTGAAGCCGGGATCCCTCGGCGTCCCCTGGGCCTTGGCCTCGGAGCTCACGCGGGGGTCTTCCCCCAAGCGTGCTAATTAATGCGTAAGAACAAAGCTCCTCCAGGATTCTCATTTGGGTGCTCCTGGATCCTGCTTTACCCCAGATGATCTTGGAAGGTGGAAAGAAAAGCAGGTAGCTCTGTGTGCCCACGTGGAAACAAACGGGGCTTAACAGGGTTTAATTTTGTTTTTAATCCTATCTGCTCCCCCTTCACTCACCCACCCCCCGCCCCCATGACGCTGCCCCGACAGAGATAGAGGGTGCATTTCAGTTCTCAGTACCTTGGTCGTCTCCGGGATTGCCATGCCCCGGGGGAGAAAGACTGGAGATGTGGCCGCCGTTCGCCCTGGGCATTGCCTGGAAAGGTGCCTTCCCAAGTGGCGAGCGCCAACCGCCAGCACCGGGGTTCTGAAAAGCTGACATATTCGTGCCTGAATTCAGGGGCGTACCTTTGTGTCCCGCAGGAGGTCACAGGGGGAGAAAGCTAACAGAACTCATACCCGCTCACCCCAGCTTCCTTGCTCTCCACGTTGTTTTTCTATTAAAAATAATTTTAAAGCCATCCTAGCCTGTTTTTACACAAGAGTGTATTTTTAAGTGATTCACCTCTGACAGATCTCTGGACTAGGTGGATGTCTGAGCCATTGCTCAGAGGTATGAGTTATTCGTATTTAGGTTCTGAATTTCTGCCAAGGTTGTCTGTTTTCCCAACTGAGCTCTGGGATGCACTTCTTTGTGGTTTGAGCTGTATCTGTCTCCTTCCCTATGAGCTCACACAGGTGGGGATTCCCAGCAGGTGGGGACTCCCAGCAGGTGAGAGCTGATGCACACTCTGGGGAACAGTGGCTTCTTGGCAGGCTCTACCTCCTCTTTGGAAACTGCAGCTGGGTTTGCTGGAAAGGCAGGTGGGGGCAGCCTCTCACACCTTCCTCTACAGCTGCTGCTTCTGAAGCTCAGAATATTTAGTGTTACCTTCTCCCCCTCAGATTACTACCTCCCTCCAACCATCTTCGAAAGTTAATGGGATCCTTGAGGTCAAACTATCTCCTCCAGGACCTTGGGCAAAGAAAAGTCAAATTTCTGGTAAATAAATAACATCAGGAATTGCCTTAGCAGAGGCCATTTGTGGGAGGAAAGGAGAGAAGCAAGTGTTGACTCTTTCCCCTAAGAAGTGCCCAGGGGCTTTGGAAATATTTAGGGAAAGTTTATCCTACCCCACCACATTTAAATAGCAGACTCTATAAAAAGCAATTTTATTTCCTTTTAGCCAAAGAGAAGAGATAGTCTTGTTTCTTTTCCTAGTGATAAGTATCCAGAATTAATTGTTCAATGTCTTTTTTAAAGACTTTGGGTGTTGTACACACTGGCTTGTGTCTCCCTCCCAATTCCTGCTGGTAATGGAGTGAATCTGCCTTTTTGCCCTTGAGGCTCTCCATAGATACTCAGTTGTTAATCAAGTGTTGCACACCACACTCAGCATACTCTCTAGAAGCTGGTTTGGAAAAGATTTTGAGCAGTTGTACCCTGGCCTTTGGTACTAGCTATATAAAGACCTCTTCAGGGTCAAGAATGATTACATGCCAGTTTTGCTAGATATCACCTTTGGTCTCAGATGGGCAGTTTCCTACAGCTTTAATGTGGGTGAGCCCCAAGAGCTTAATTTGGGTACTTTTCTCCAGAAAACTACCATCTAAAAATTGTAAGGTGGCTCAGACTGGTAATCCTAGCACTCTGGGAAGCCAAGGTAGGAGGTTGCTCCAGGAGTTTGAGAGCAGCCTGAGCAAGAACCAGACCCTGTCTCTACAAAAAATAGAAAAATTAGCCAGGCATTGTGGAATGTGCCTGTAGTCCCAACTGCTTAGGAGGCTGAGGCAAGAGATCAGTTGAGGTCAGGAGTTTGAGGTTGCAGTGAGCTATGATGACATCACTGCACTCTAGACTGGGCAATAAGAATGAGACACTGTCTCAAAAAAACAAATAAAAGACCTAATAAAATATCAAAAAAATTGTAAGTGTCCAACCAAAGTCTTCCTAGACTGTTGCTCTTCCTGATGGCAACATAGGGAAGTCCCAACTCAGGGCAGTCCCAATACAAGGCAGTCCTGATTCTTCTGGTTCAAGCCTAGGCCACCCCAGTGTGCCCATCACCAGCCACTTCCTGGAGTCCTTCTACATTACCTCTTTCTTCAGAGCTGCACTGGCCTGAGTGGAAAGTCAGTCCTCTGTGTAGTACTGCAGGGGTTTTTTTAATCAGCTGTGAAATTCCAGTGACTTACTTGACAGTGGCAGTAAGTCTCTCCATGAGCTCCTATTAGGCCATGATAGGAAGAGTTTGTTTTATAATTGTCTTATCCACAAAAATCCACTGATCCACAAAAATCACAAGAGCTCACATGCAGCTTCTCTTCTGGAGTTTTTAGCATGTGAACCTGTAAAGAAAAAAAAACCGTCAGGTTTATTAACTACCCTGAAGTAATGTCATCTTCAGATTACAGCCATTGAAATGTTTGGTCCCTGCTATAATTCAGGAGCCTTGACACTTTAAGATATTGTAGTTATTGATATGAGGGGCAAAGATTTTTAAGAGCCAGCTTAAAGCCTCTGATTTTTCAAAATATAGCATGTTAGCAGAAATGTAGTTTTTCACAGGAGAATCCCTTACTAAAATACCATGAGGAACATTGTCAGTGCTTCCATTACAATTCCTGCAGGCTTTCCCCCTGCTTATACAGTGTGTTAGAAAGAGCAGAGCCTGGGGTCGAGAGTCCTAGATTCTGGCACTTTCAGGCACTACTGTTTAGACAAATTGCTTATTCTCTGTAATCCTCAGTTTCTTCATCTGGAAAATGGGGATATTCATCATTACCTCATTTGTTATTAGAATTGATTAAGGTAATGTGAAGATATCAAGTTGTGTGGCTGGCATGTAAGTACTCAATAGATTTTATTTTAAGGTAAATCTGAAAACCTTTATTATGAGAAAATTAGTATTTTCTTATGAAATAAAGTCTCTCCTGCTGTGGTTTTTTTTTTTTTTTTTTCTGTTCTGCTTAGTGTCCAGCCTATAATTTAGAGTCCAGGGTGACTCAAGTGTTTTGATGACGTGCTGTGTCCAAACCAATACCAGCCTCTGTAGTAGTTTTCATTGTTTTTAAAAGGAAAATGAAAAGAATTTGTCATTTTTTTTTGTACCCCACAGTCTAATCTTCAACTCACTTAAGCTTAATGTTTAAATATAATTTATATAATTTAAATATTATATTTAAATTCTGAAGGAAGAATTTCTGTGCTCTAGGTGGGAATTCCATCTCAGCAGAGTTACTAATGTGAGAATTCTGCCGGCATTCTGATTAAGAGTCACCCAGTAATGATCACGTAATGATAATATTGGTAAGGCACTGTGGTATCCTCGCCCTATTCACAACATAAACCCTGATCTTTTTCTCCAGACTAGTTAAGTGTTATTTCAGTCATTGGAAAAATCTATGATTTCAAGCTTAGTAATATGTGTTGGTATTTACATGGAACTAGCAAGCTTATTCATTCTAAATCGTCTTTGGAGCACTAGGGAAGCAATCATTTATAGATTCCCATTCTATTTTCTTACAAGTCTGAAAAGATTCTTTCACATTCTCAGTAATACCCCTGCCTAGCCTCCTGACTTTGCCTTGGAGCCCAGTAGTATATATCTGGCCACGCTAATTTGAGTCTTGGTATATACATTCTCGTTCTGTCTGTGAAACCCCAAGGATGGGCGGGTGATGATGGCTCATGCTCATCTCAGCCCAGCCCTTCCCGTGCACAGAGCCTTGGCTCAGTGGTGTTTAGGAATGTCTCTGCAGAATTGAGCACTGTTCTAGAGCCAGGTCACGCAGAAGTGAACAAAACCCCCTGTCCTCCTGGGACTCATGTGCAAGTGGAGAGAGGTAGGCAGTAAACGGTGAAGAGGTAAAATACAGGGGAGTGTGCTCAGTGGCTGCAGTGCCCGGCAATAACATAATGCCGGCGGGAGGGGGCTGGGAAGTGGGAGACTGCAGCTTTAGAAACAGGGACAAGGACGGCCATACTGAGAAGGTGACAATTGCATCAAGACTGGAAGGAGAGAAAGGAACAAGTCACACAGATAGCAGGAGACCATCCTGGGTTGTTTGGGAGACATCAAGGAGTAGGGGTGAGGGAGGGTGAGTAGAGGGAGTGGGATGAGTTAGGAGGGGGTCAGAGCAATGGGGTGGCTCAGGTCCAAGGTCCAGGCGAAGGGAGGTGGGGCCTCAGCTGTGCAGCTGTCAGTGGTGTGGAAGGGGAAAGACAGCTGCTTGGGGTGTTCAGCTGGTTAACCTGGCAGGGCTGGGCTGGATGGTCTGATGAAGAAGGTAGTAGCTGTCTCTAGCAGGATAAGGAGTCCAGGCAGGGACACCAGCCTATTCCGTTGAGGTCACATGGAGTCAAGGAGCCTGGAGGACCCTTAGGTAAAAGTGAGCAGCACACAGTTGGATGAGTGAGTGTGGTGCTCAGGAGACCCATGTGGGATGGAGTAGTAAGCATGTTGGGCATGTGGTTATTGGCACTTTAGGAATGAATGGAGCTGTTTGGGGAGAACATGGAGAGGAAAAGAGTAAAGAAAGAGCCCCAGATAACCCCGACCTTGGAGTCTGGGAAGATGAGGCACGCACAGGAGAGAAGGGGTGTGATAGGAGTTAAGAACTGGAGCAAGTGGTGAGCGAGACTCAGAGGGGGAGGGTGTCCTATTGTGTTGGGGGTACAGGAAGGAGGGGACTGACCTTTGGGTCTTTCTTTGGAGGTGCATAGTTATGAAAGAATTGTGAGAAAGTGGTAGTTATGTGTAAGATCCAAAG